TTACCACTCTGTGGGCTTACCGGGCTTATCCGGCCCCTTAGAACACCCCTTCTTTTATTCGGGAGGTATGGTGGCCGACACCCCGCAGGCCCTGAACCGGCGACCGCTGTACTCGGGGGCGCTCCATATGTACGCGACACACGTGGCTCGTATGGCGCAAACAAAATAAGGGCCAGGCACCGCGTTGCCGTGCTACCCAGGCAAATTGTAGAGGGCGTTACGCCTACCTAGCAGGTTGTATGTTTACCCGTATACTAGGGGCACGGCTCTGTGAGCCTGACCTGCCCGCTGTCTTGTGCTCTGCGTGTATATCCAGGCTCGCAAGCCGCACGCACAACATTCCCCCGGATGTCCACCTCCCGCTGAATGATCGCCTGCAGACACCACAGCCACAAGCAACGGCTCCGCGAATCCAACGCTTCGCCGCCCGCTGTCTATTGTTCTGTGTGTCTATCCAGAGTCGCTAGCCCCACTCGCATAACATCCCGCCGGATGTCCGCCTCCCGCCGGAGGATCGCTTACAGACACTACCGCTGCAAGCTACGGCTCCGCCGAGCCAACGCTTCGCCGCCCGCTGTCTATTGTTCTGTGTGTCTATCCAGAGTCGCTAGCCCCACTCGCATAACATCCCGCCGGATGTCCGCCTCCCTGCCGGAGGATCGCTTACAGACACTACCGCTGCAAGCTACGGCTCCGCCGAGCCAAGGCTTCGCCGCCCGCTGTCTGTTGTTCTGTGTGTCTATCCAGGGTCGCTAACCCGGCTCGCATAACATCCCGCCGGATGTCCACCTTCCGCTGGAGAATCGCTTACAGACACTACCACTGCAAGCTACGGCTCCACCGAGCCAATGCTTCGCCGCCCGCTGTCTATTGTTCTGTGTGTCTGTCCAAGGTCGCCAGCACTACTCGCATAACATCCCGCCGGATGTCCACCTCCTTCCGGAGGATCACTTACAGACACTACCGCTGCAAGCTACGGCTCCGCCGAGCCAACACTTCGCCGCCCCGCTGTCTATTGTTCTGTGTGTCTGTCCAGGGTCGTCACCCCCCTTGCATAACATCCCTCCGAATGTCCACCTCCCGCCGGAGGATCACTTACCGCCGCAAGCCACGGCTTTGCAAGCCAACGCTTACGTGCCACTCCATGCGTCCACCCGCAAGGCTAAGTATCTATGGATTAGGCCAATAGCAGAGGCTCCCAGCCCGCGGGGCTGGGGAGGAGGGGGGCTCTCGGGTCGCATTTGCATTAGCCCCACGGGATGAGGGAGAACCTCGGCCAAACCAGTACAGGAACGCCCCGCCGAGGTCAGGAGGGGGGGGGGGGGATCTCCCACTAGCATAACCCACGGGTCCCCTGCTTACAATCCACGGCCACGCCGCCGGGCCAGTGTGTTCCGGGAAGCGGGCCGCCGTTCGGTGACTCGGCGCAGCATGCATACACCGCAGCTTGGCCGCCGTGCCATTCTGCCTGTTTAGGGAATGTGCACGTGTGCAGGCATATGCGTGTGTGCATTTGTGTTGCATGCATTTGTGTTGCATGCGTTTGTGCCTGTGTCCTCCTAGGCTCGCTAGCCACCGCTCTCTCAGCGCGAGCAGAGCACCTGTTTGCCAACTCGGTAGCCACTGGCACACAGCGCACGTACGCCCAAGGCTGGCGTGCATTCCTGGAGTTCATGGGTCGCATGCGCCGCGACGCACATCACCCAGATCAGAACAACGTCCTGCTGGTCGCTGCTGCAATATCTCACTCAGTCAGTGCCAGCACTCTGAGAGTCTACCTGGCCGCGGTCAAATACCACCTCCTCCGCATGGGAGGCCCGGTCGGAGTTCAATCCTCAAGCCGCATCACAGCCCTGCTCAAGGGCTTAGAGAGGGAGAGAGCGTCGCTCCCCAGGCATCCGTCAGCACGCTCTCAGCGCCAAGCGATCACCGTCCACCAGCTGAAGGCTCTCCGCCAGTTCCTGGATCTGTCCTTGTACTCCCCGGCAGACAGACTGATGCTATGGGCTGCTCTGACGACAGCCTTCCACGGCCTGCTGTGTGTGAGTGAGTACACGTCGCTGTCACCACACGGTATCGGCGGCTTCAAGACGCTGAGGCGCAAACACCTCCAACTAGCCCAGCAGGAGGCCTCTCTGCAGCTCCAGAGGACGAAGACGTCTCAATTAATAGCAGGTTGGGAAGTAGCGCTGCACCACTACGCTGACCCCGCACTATGTCCCATCCGAGCCCTGCAGGCTTACGTTCGGTCCAGCAAATGGAGCAATGCCAAGCAACCCCTCTTCAAGTTTTAGGATGCTCGCCATCTCACGTCGAACGACATCAATGCTGTCCTACACAAATGCTGTCCAAGCATCAGCGGCCATTCCTTACGCGCCGGGGGAGCCACACACACGGCAGATCGAGGCGCCCCAGAGTATGCCCTGACGGCTGCAGGCCGCTGGTCCAGCGAGGCATATCGGACGTACATTCGCAGGCCCGCAGGCATGCCACAGCACTACAAGAGCCTGCGTGTCGCAAGCCACTCGGTACCTTTATCGGAGGCACGGGCGCTGCCGATGGGCGCCGCATAGTGCACGCACATCGGCACCATTGAACTATTCATGTGTACTAAGATTTAGTGTTCCGCTGCCATAGCAACCTAGTAGTACACGTAGCCGTTCCGACGGCGCACGACCCCGCGGGTCGCTTCTGCTGCCCTTGCCTCTCTGATGCGTGATATGTGTGCATCATTTATAATCATGACCTCATACTGAGTACATGTACGTCATACTTGATTACCGATCACAGGCTCATGATTATTCATGCTGGAATAAACGCTTGCGACACCCCACAGGCTCGTCTCTCTTGTGTGGCATGAGGGTTAAATGTTGGTTTGCGTTGCGCAAACCGTAGTTAACCTACATGTCACAGAGCCGCATCTCCCGCATGGAGATGCCGTCCGCAGACACGCCAAAACCGGCTAAGTCTCATACGAGCTCGGCTAAAGTCGTACGCACTGCCGGGCTCCCGCGCGGGGCCCCACGCAAGCATTCGCAACCGCGATGCGCGTACGGCATGCCGTATAAGCCACCTATCCGCCTCGGGTGCAAGCTCACCCAAGGCCACCCTCGCAAGGCAGGAACACGTAAAGACATTCACCAGTTGTTTGTTGTGCCTGCCCGCCGCAGAAATTGTTTCCCACCCTCCCGCACCGTTTAAAAGGCAGGAGGCACGGGTGCTGCCGATGGGCGCCGTATAGTGCACGCACATCGGCACCATTGAACTATTCATGTGTACTAAGATTTAGTGTTCCGCTGCCATAGCAACCTAGTAGTACACGTAGCCGTTCCGGCGGCGCACGACCCCGCGGGTCGCTTCTGCTATCCTTGCATCTCTGATGCGTGATATGTGTACATCATTAATTTTATAATCATGACCTCATACTGAGTACATGTACGTCATAATTGATTACCGATCACAGGCTCAGGATTATTCATGCTGGAATAAACGCTTGCGACATCCCACAGGCTCGTCTCTCTTGTGTGGCATGAGGGTTAAGCATATATTCCACCTCGGCCATTTAGCAATGAAATTTATACGCCTATATTTCCCTTCTGTAGCAGGAATACAAGAGCAAGCTGTCGACAAAGGTTTTGTAGATTTGGTGACTATTCTGACAGGAGAGACCTGTGCACAAGAGGACAGCAAGACCTGATAGGACGCACTGGGCTTGTAAAAGAGGGCTATCCGGTGAGAGACAGATGCAGGATGGGTTCTAGTGTGCATCAGCGGTTATTTGCAAGCCACGCGGCAGTCATATAAACAATATACTGGTACTGTTATCTGATGTCTGGTGTTTGTCTTCCGATACGTCTACTAGGGCTATCGTGAACAACTACACGGGACAATAGTTATATCGCCCAGTCGTGGACGCGCCGTTTGCCAGGATTGAAAGGGGACGAGCTCTGGATTAAACACCAAAAGTCTCTTGTTTCAGAAGACCCGACCGAAAGTGTTTCGGGGCGGCGAATGAAACTTCTGTCAGTGCAGGAGATATTTACTGGCATTAAGAGAGCATGTCTGCGGAAAGCGGAACACATGTGCAAGTAGATCTCTCGGATTTCGCTCAAATTTTGCAGGTAGGCTTGCTTTGGGATGTAGATCGACATTTTAAAGCCCGCGCAAAATCTTTTGAAGCGAACCATTGTATTGGCATGCCCCTCAATATTGGCCCACTATGGGCACGATGTATGGGTTTACAAACTTGCCACGGCACAGCGTAGAAGAACCAGCTCTATCAAGCCAACATTACCTCACCTTAGAAGAGTTCTTGGGCAGCACTACTTAGCCACGCTTGCATCCCGGAAGACGAGGCCAATCATCCCTTGACGCCACAAATGATCGTCTTGAAAATAGCAAAATTACAAGCGCTGATAAAACAGCGAGCTACGTCCTCAATTAGCAAACACTATGCACCGAGAGATAGAAAAACACCTCTTCTAGCACTGACGAAATGTCCCCCATCATCCTTTTGGGGTTGTGGTTGTGGTTTGGAGTGACAAGTGATCACTGCTATCTGTTTTATCACACTTATCCATCGTCTAGGCGTCACGACATCGTGAAATATAAGAATAATAAAAATAAAAATAAAAGGTTTGTGTGGTTCGCTGTTGTTTACCTACAATCATTATTGAATATCCATATCATGTCGCCACATTTTCCTGCTGGATGCTAGTCGGATGGGTGCCATTCTCCAGCCTTCGACCGAGTGCTGCTGGATAATGCATGCATACCTGGAAATGATCCTGATAACTCAAAGCCGAAACAATCTACATTTTGAATGGTGGACAAAGAAGACTCGCACTTCTCACATACAGCTCTGGGCCAGTGGTTTTTCGTAGGAGTTCATGCAAGACACATGCTCCCTTGGAAAGTGGTCCTCACATTTTCCTGAGTACAAAATCCCGATACTATACATTGTAAATTGATAACACTAGCTGGGTCAGATAAGGGCGAGGGAACCAGAGAGAATTACCCCGAACACGTTCTCAATATTCATACCATCCACGTCACTAGTACCACTACTGTTATGCACATGTTTTTAAAACAATCCATGACCACAGTGAACGGATATACTGATTATGCATGCGAAATTTAGAGAGAAGTGCTACCAAACAGAAACAAAGTGTGAATAAAATTCTAGCGACTTTTGAATCATAAACATAAGCAAAAAAATATACACCTGCTGCAAGTTTATAACGACCGAGCTGCAATTTGCTGCTATGCAATGGATTTACTGACAGGGATTAAATGCACAGGTGGGATATATAATGTCAATGGTAATTCGTCCGGTGATATAGATATAGAGATTCGGTTACGAATCACCGTCAACATACATGTATAGCAAATTACTTCAAAAATCTCGCTCCGAACCGTTTACCACTGAACTTACTTGTGAAAGTTACAAATGTTATCCATACCGATCCGTGACATCAGGACACAAGAGCTGCAATGAATATTTGAGAGTATCTCAGTAATAAATGCATGCGCTACTGGAGTTTGAGGCAGTGAGATATGAAGAAAAAACTCAGAAAGACTGCAACATATGGCGTGTTTGCTGTGAAAAAGTATACCATGATACAGTTTTGTGTGAAGAGAAAAAAGGCCCTATAAGTTACTAGTTATAATTAACTGTCCACCAAGGTAACGAATTAATAATTATAGCATCAGATAGTGAGACAGCACGGCACAAGACGAACAAGTTTATTGAGACATTCTACGACATGACACTGATTTCACACGTCACCTGGCTTTATATTATCTCTTTACCTTTGTGGACTTTGAGTCATAGCTAGTAACTTATAGGTCCTTATTCTCTTTACATATTACTATTGGCTCAACAACAGAGTTAAATGATACTGCATCATTTGCATTTCGTTGAGGATATGTATCATTCTGTAAAAATTAAAAATTCCTGGGCTGTGAAAAACATTTGGCGTTATTGGATGCTGACATAAGTATGCTCTTCTTCTGTGGCCGGTCCCCCTTCCTCTGCACGCCCAGCTCCACATCCGGCACGAAGAACATCATTCTCGCGCAAATCCACACAGCCATATGCATCATTCCTAGCCAGGATCCAGCTCTCGTACGCCTCATTGGGATCCATACTAGTGCACGTGTTCTGAACCAAATCAAGTTCATCATCATGGGAAACAGTTTGAGTTCTTAAGTCCAGTTCCCAGTTAGTCAGCACTGAAAGAGGAAAACATAATATTGTCAGAACGATGGATACGTGGATAAGATATCAACTATGAACTTTGTGTCACCTTTCAGTTATGCAAAGAGAGCTGCATGTTTTCACTCCCGTTGTACGGTTAACCTCAACTTTCTGAAAATCATGCACACTTCCGAATGTATAAGTGTGTAAGATGAAGGGCAGGTCTATAGTGCTAAATATGGACTTCGGGGGTGTGATTGAGTTCTACAAGCACACATGATGCGCAGTTGCCAGCGGTAAACAATATATCAGCACACGAAGCAGAGATGCCATATGATGTTGTCGACTAGGCCTTTCATTCCATTACTCTTCAGGTCGAATACAATGGTGATTAAAGGGGAAGTTAAGGCAAAAACTAAAATTTCACCAGTTGTAGTCTTCGGGGTGCTGAGTCGAATGGTCTTGGTCCGAGAAAGCTGAGACGCTCCCTTCCTACTTGAATCCCAATCGAACTCGCGCACTTTCACCGAAACTGGGTGACTGCGCCCTACGAGATGGGGATTTGTATGCAAAATGTCACTAAAAGCGCCGTTTCGTTCTTATAAAAGCACGGATGACCGCGATTGGCCCATATGTTGTAGTCTTTTGGACGCTGAATCGACTGGTTTTGGTCCGAAAAGGCTGCGATGCAGCGTTCCTCCTTTATTCCCAATCGAACATGGTTGAAGAAGCGGTCACGTGCTCCTGGGTGCCAAAATCACCTGGTCACCACGCCAGCAGGCGACAACTTTCACACCAAGGTTCAACTCGAGTGACAGGACTGCACCCAAAAAAGGTCAAAACAGGCTGTACGTTGTACCCTGCAGGCACGGTGACCAGGTGACTGGTGTACCCAGGAGCACGTGACCGCTTCTTCAACCATGTTCGATTGGGAATTAGGGGCGAACGCTGCATCGCAGCCTTTTCGGACCAAAACCAGTCGACTCAGCGTCCAAAAGACTACAACATATGGGCCAATCGCGGTCATCCGTGCTTTTATAAGAACGAAATGGCGCTTTTAGTGACATTTTGCATACAAATCCCCATCTCGTAGGGCGCAGTCACCCAGTTTCGGTGGAAGTGCGCGAGTTCGATTGGGATTCAAGTAGGAAGGGAGCGTCTCAGCTTTCTCGGACCAAGACCATTCGACTCAGCACCCCGAAGACTACAACTGGTGAAATTTTAATTTTTGCCTTAACTTCCCCTTTAACAAGTAAGCAAGTCCTTATAACCGGCACTTTTGGCGGGCAGAGCATTGACAAAAATAGCATTTGAAAAATAGTGCTAGTGGCACCCACTCTCACTTTACCATTCAAGCGCGTGCACGCAACAAATCTCACCTTGCTGTGCTTGAGGCAATGTACATTGCCAAGCTGAAGCCTGAACTGTGGGTGCAAAAGAAGTATGTGCGCAAGTTGTCACTGTTTTGACATTGTAGTACCGTAGTCCCCACTGTTGTCTGATGCTGGTAATATTTATTGTCTCACTGTGTACTTGGCGCCTCTAGCGCTATCTTTAAAGTGCTATTTGGTCTATGCTCTAACCGCTAAATATGCTGTTGGCCCCACTAGCGCTATTTTTCAAGTGCTATTATTGTCAATGCCTTGCTCGTCAAAAGTGTCGGTTATGAGGACTTTCTTACTACCTTGTCAATCATCATTTGATTTGACCTGAAGAGTAATGGAATGAAAGGCTTAGTCGAAATAATAATATGGCTCCTGTTCTTTGTGTGCTGATTTGCTTTCCTCTAACCAAAAATCTATTTAAGCACTATATCGCGAGACATTATTTTCATGATCGATGATGTATATAAAGCTTATGATGGTATCTGCCCATGATACACAATGCACTGAGGCCTGTAGGAATGCATGTATTATTGTTCCACACAGGAATTTCGAGTTAGAGAGGCCAGACTGAAGCGGTAACGTCATTTTTCGATGGTAAAGTATTTCTAAGAAACGTGTCCAGAACATCACTCTTGGAATTTTAAGATGAATGCTGTAGTACCATTTGGTAAAGTTTTGAAACCTCTGAATGTATCAATTTCGCTTTTTCCCAGAAAGGCAGGAAAAGGAACCCTATTACTATTCAGAAGCTCCAAATTTGGACGTTACGTACCAGGATCAGGTTTCGTGGGTGTCAACTTTATTTTCCATAGCAGGAAAACTGTCGCAGCCAGCACCAGCAGTCCTGCGCCAGACCCTCCCGCAATTATCGCTGCAGATTTGGAGCCGCTTGCGCTAGCTTGGTAGCCACTGGTTGCGTCGACTTGATCAGTTGTTGGTGCTATGAAAAAAGGGAAAACATCACCAAGAACAGATTCTGGACAACATATAATATTATAAGTATTTTTGGTGCGAGGAACCATATCCTTTTCTAGTGAAATGTAGGTGACCAACATTTTCTTTACATACAGTGACTATTCTAGTACCTTTTTAGTTGCCAGATTCCCCTAACGGAAATACCGAAAATACAGTTCCAACGAGCATAACGTGTTATAGAGTAACCATAAAATCCAATCTGTTACAGATAGAATCATAAAGAGAAGTTAACTCAATTGATATATGAGAACAGCAAGACGTATGAAGGAGGAGAATCGGTAACGTTCTTGGGTTTTGAACGATTCGAACGAAACGTTCCACCATCTATTGAGGGGTGAAATTCATGCCAACTCGAGGCTACACATGTGCAACAAATGTGCCAACCTTGATGCAACGTGGTGATGCGAGTGGAGGTCGATTGAGCACTGTCTCCATAGGCATTGCTTACATAGGTGGTGACATTATAGGTCATGCCTGGAGCCAGGCCAATCAAGGTAACATTTTCAGACGCGTTGCACACTGGTATCGATGTCATATTCCCAGACATATCATTTGCAGGCCTTCCGTTCACACAATACTGGAGTATGGGAAGGTTGTTGCCTTCTGTTCGGCCTATAAAGACAGTGATGGTAGTACTTGAGAGGACGTAATTGTCAGGCGATGTTGGCGCTAATAAAAACATATTCAGATCACGTATGTATCAGTAAATTGTTCATACATCACATAGTATTTGCGGTCTGCATTAAAAAGGCCTGTTAATATGCCAATGCATATTTGTGGAGAAGGAAATCTCCCATGGGATAATTGAGAAGAAATGTTTTTTTCATTTCTTAACTTCTTCCCTTTGATCACTGCACCATCAACCAAATGCATTGGGCACACGGGTAACTAATCCCTTACCTGATTCAGCAATACTTGACCTGAGAATCATGCAATTGACATAGGAACGTCATTTGGGGAAAGAGACCATGCAAAAAGGAATGTGCGAGGTACAATACGAATCTCACAAAATTCTTCACCCCTGTTCGTGGTCGGTGTTTGATGTAATGATATCCCTTACCTTTAGGCACTGTTCCAATGCTGACTACAGGGGACATGCTACTATTGTGTCCGATCGTAGTTTTGAAGAATGCTCTGACCCTGTACAAAGTATTGGTTTCCAGGCGCGACAACACGATTGACTCGTTATTGTTACAAACTACAGTTGGTTTAGCCACAGTGTCATTTTTGTCGTACACAAAGCAGAATTCTGGTATCCAATCTCGTAGTATCTGTGGCTGCAATATGCGTGCATATATTCCAGTGTCTGTTGAGTTGACAGCTATGCCTGAGGGCGCTATAAAGCAGAGAACACAGTGAAGCACGCACAGAATACAGTGAAGCACGCAAAGAATGCCACTGAACAATACATCTACATGTACATACATGGTTTTTCCCTTTGCGAATGATACCTTTATAACAGCGTGTATCTGGGCGTGCTGCGGAGACCTCAGGCGGCAGATCCATCAACGCCCCATCATTGATTTCTTGATTTTAATTTCACGGATCCTCCAGAGTCAGACAGATGCCTATCGAAGGGAGTCTCCTAACTAAAAATGGAAAATGAGAAAGTATGTTCATAGGGGAGAAGAGGTAGAAGACTAGAATATACAGTACACAAGAGCACACCACCGGGACTCGAACCAGGGGCCTTGCTATTCGCGAGCAATGCTCTAACCAACTGAGCTACAGTATGACTCTTATCCACAGTGAGTTTAAATCTATCCGTCTTCGATCAATTCGTATCTGGCTTGCATCATGCTGGCAACTCGGACCAATCAAGAGGGCCCTGGGCCAATGGCTTGATATCATGGGGAGCGCATCAAACTATGTCCACTGCGAGCAAATACAAATTGCAATTTCAAATTTGGACTTCACGGAGAATTTCAAAGTTGTTAGCAAATTAGAGGCCACATGCCACGTACTGCTCTTTTCTCTCCGAAACTCAACACTTGCAATTCAGATATGAAAGAAAGAAAAAATCATCAGTGAAAAATTCTCCGTGAAGTCCACATTTGAAATTGCAATTTGTATTTGCTCGCAGTGGACATAGTTTGATGCGCTCCCCATGATATCAAGCGAATGGCGGAGGGCCCTCTTGATTGGTGTCAGTTTCCAGCATAATGCAAACCAGATATGAATTGATCGAAGAAGGTTAAATTTACCATCACTGTGGATAAGAGTCATTCTGTAGCTCAGTTGGTTAGGTCATTGCTCGCGAATAGCAAGGCCCCTGCTTGGAGTCCCGGTGGTGTGACTGATGATATTTTCTTTCTTTCATATCTGGCTTGCAAGTTTTGAGCTTCGGAGAAAAAAGCAGTACGTGGCACGTGGTGTCTAATTTCCTAAAAACTTTGAAATTCTCCGTGAAGTCCAAATTTGAAATTGCAATTTGTATTTTCCCGCAGTGGACATAGTTTGATGCGCTCCCCAGGATATCAAGCGAATGTCCCAGGGCCCTCTTGATTGGTGGGAGTTGCCAGCATGATGCAAGCCATATATGAATTGATCGCAGAAGGATAGATTTACCATCACTGTGGATAAGAGTCATACTGGAGCTCGGTTGGCTAGAGCATTGCTTGCGAATAGCAAGGCCCCTGGTTCAAGTCCCGGTGGTGTGACTGATGATTTTTTCTTTCTTTCATACCTGGCTTGCAAGTGTTGAGTTTCGGCGAGAAAAGAGCAGTACGTGGCATGTGGCCTCTATTTTCCTAAAAACTTTGAAATTCTCCGGTAAGTACAAATTTTATAAAAGCTATAAAGAGAACAAATTCTGCTGTCATCGCCACACCACAAAAAAGTCATGAAGGTTTACCAAAATCGATTTTCTTGTCACAATCATCAGTGGAAAACCGTGACTGAAGAATAACCATGTCAAATCAATAATTTATATACATTCAATAATGTGTTACAAGAACAAAACAAAGTGCTAAAAATAGAATGAGGGAAGGTGAGACAATAGAAGTAAAGTGAGAGCTAAGTGCAACAGGGGTGAGGAACTAATTGCAACGCCAGAACTGTGTAGTGAGACAAACAATCATGCTGTGCACCTATGAAAACAATCTTAACGCAACTACATGTTTTTTTCTGATTTTTATTTCCATTGCTATCAGGTTCGGCCTCATTTCCTCTGTGCTGCGCTGACGAGTCCACAAAGGACGAAACAGTTCTGTCCGCAGATTGAGTATTTCGCTCCTGCTCTTGTAGCAGTTGAGCACTCTTGCGTGGGGTAGTGCCTTTACTGTTTGCTTTATGCAGAGCTCACTGACTTGTCAGTTTGAGCACTCTGGCAAGGTACATTCGGACCTGATTGGAAATTTATATTTCCATTGCTATCAGGTTCGGCCAAATTTCCTCTGTGCTGCTCTGACGAGTCCACAACGGACGAAACAGTTCTGTCCGCAGATTGAGTATTTCGCTTCTGCTCTTGTAGCAGTTGAGCACTCTTGCGTGGGGTAGTGCCTTTGCTGTTTGCGTTATGCAGAGCTCACTGGCTTGTCAGTTTGAGCACTCTGGCAAGGTACATTCGGACCTGATTGGAAATTTTTATTTCCATTGCTATCAGGTTCGGCCTCATTTCCTCTGTGCTGCGCTGACGATTCCACAAAGGACGAAACAGTTCTGTCCGCAGATTGAGTATTTCGCTCCTGCTCTTGTAGCAGTTGAGCACTCTTGCGTGGGGTAGTGCCTTTGCTGTTTGCGTTATGCAGAGCTCACTGACTTGTCAGTTTGAGCACTCTGACAAGGTACGTTCGGACCTGATTGGAAATTGTTATTTCCATTGCTATCAGGTTCGGCCGCATTTCCTCTGTGCTGCGCTGACGAGTCCACAAAGGACGAAACAGTTCTGTCCGCAGATTGAGTGTTTCTTCTGCTTACAAAGATCAGGCTTACGCAAACGAATACAAACAGCCTCCAGTACTTTCAACTGACTAGCGTACCGTGCACGACAGAGAACAGAAAAACTAAAATCATCATACACCTGCAGACACTTAGGGTGAGACAACAGATGAAGAAAAATGGCAGACTTCTTACGATCATAATCACCATCCGATTCCTCGTCTCCACCAACCGCAACCCCGTCCCCCGTCTCATCTTCCAACTCGTCCTCAGTGTCGTACTCCGTGTCATTCTCCTCATCACCACCGATCGGTCCCAGGCTCGCTTCACGTTGCTGAACCTCTGTTCGTTGACTCCTCCTTTGATCTTGATGGTAATTTGTTACCATTGTTGTTGTTGTCATTGTTGTTGTTCCTGTTGTTGCTAAATCTTCTGTTCCCAGTGTCTTCACCGGTGAGGAATCGGATGGTGATTGTGATCGTAAGAAGTCTGCCGTTTTTCTTCACCTGTTGTCTCACCCTAAGTGTCTGCAGGTGTATGATGATTTTAGTTTTTCTGTTCTTTGTCGTGCACGGTACGCTAGTCAGTTGAAAGTACTTGAGGCTGTTTGTATTCGTTTGCATAAGCCTGATCTTTGTAAGCAGAAGAAACATGTAGTTGCGGTAAGATTGTTTTCGTAGGTGCACAGCATGATTGTTTGCCTCACTTCACAGTTCTAGCGTTGCAATTAGTTCCTCACCCCTGTTGCACTTAGCTCTCACTTTACTTTTATTGTCTCACCTTCCCTCATTCTATTTTTAGCACTTTGTTTTGTTCTTGTAACACATTATTGAATGTATATAAATTATTGATTTGGCATGGCTATTCTTCAGTCACGGCTTTCCACTGATGATTGTGACAAGAAAATCTATTTTGGTAAACCTTCATGACTTCGTTGTAGTGTGGCGATGACAGCATAACTTGTTCTCTTTATAGCTATTATAAAATTGTTGTCTCCGCGTCGATTATTTAAGTACAAATTTGAAATTATTATTATTATTATTTGCGTCCCACCCGCCTGTGTGGATTCACAGGAAGTGTGAGTTTCGAAGTCTGAAGAAAACTTTGAACGGTCTCTGTTGGGACGACGACTATACCATAGCTTAGCGGTTAGAGCATCGTTGGCTACAAGCGAGGGTCCCTGGTTCGAGTCCTGGTGGTGACAGTCAATTTTTTCTTCAGAATTTTCCCGTTTGTCTCTTTCCCTCAAACCAGTTAATATTATTATTTTTATTACACCTTCCAGTGGCTAAAGATGAATCAGTGCCAGTATACATGAGGTACCTGGCGGATAATGCCGGAAGGAAATTGAGAAAATTTGGAATCTGGTTATCCAGTTTTGCCAGATTTGCCAGGTTTTCCAGGACAATCATTGTGGGTGAAGCATACAGAACTGTGCTTGTTTTGTATTTCGGAGCCAATGCTCAGCTCTGTTCCTGGTGACCACACAGCAACTACAACTTGCCACTGATTGGCAACAGTGATACTACCTGTACATGCATCGTAGTAGTGCAAGTCATACAAGAATATAAAAAATTATTTTCATTAAGGACAAAATGGAGGCGTATCCAATTTTTGAAAGAAAATGTGTCCGCACCGACGCAATCCACACAGTGAAGTAAGCCGATTTGGTAACCGAACGTTTTCGTTCTCTTCGAATCATGGGTAAGTACAGGGAATAATGGAAAAAATGGAAAATAAAGCAATTTATAGAGCTACCGCAAAAGCATAGATCGAGAACCTCACGCTATACGTGTGGAAAAAAATAATACAGCAGAACAGGTCAAATGACGAGGATACAGATGACGACGAGGCGGATGAGGGCGAGGATACAGATGACGACGAGGCGGGTGATGACGAGGCGCCGGATGACGACGAGACGGATGACGATGAGACGGCTGGTGGTGATGGTGATAAAACGGACGAGGAGGAGTTAGGTGGCAGGGAAGGTGATGGAGCTGATTAGGGTGAAATTCGTAAGAAGTCAGCTGTGTACTTGCATTTGTTATCTCGTCCCGATTGTTTGAGTGTGTATGATGATTCCCACTTCTCTGTTCTGTGTCGTGCTCGTTATGTCCAGCAGTTGAAGGTCCTTGAAGCTGTTTGTATTCTTACGCATAAGCCCGATTCGTGTAAGCAAAAAGAACATGTTTTAGCACTTAGGTTATTCTCGTGAGTTTGCACCCCGTGTTTATGAGTTGTTTCTGCACTGTTCATGCCCATTTGTCACACTTACTCTTTATCTAAGTTCTCACTTTTTGTAATACTTACCACAAGTTACCCGTCATGTGTCACACTTCTTTGGATTTTTAACCTTTGTTTTTCCCTTGATCACTTTAGTTCCGTATTTCCACTAATGATTGGAGCTTGAAAATCGATTTTGGAAACACACAAAACAAAACCTTGAACAAAT